GCGGGGAGGGGGGCAGGGGCAAATGATGAAGATGCGATACCTAATCCGTAGGAAAATATGACCATTTGTCCAAGCGCGTAGTGCGGCAAAAAGGTGTCGAGGTAAGATTGACCTGTGAAGGGCCATTTGAATTGATAAAGTGTTATTCAAAGTGGAAGTTTGGACATAAAATGTGGTTCAAAGAGTCACAGAAAATTAAAATTTGTTCCGTCTATGACTACATCACAAATACACGATACAAACTTCAAATATAGCCCCTTCCTATATTCCTTGAGGACGTGCAACATCTTCAAAACACGACAAAAATAGTCGTGGATTTTTCTTTCTCTCCGCAAAATATATAGATATACACCATGACTATATACACACCGGGGATGCCTTCCCTTGACTATACCCAGGGATTTTAGTCAGATTAGGAACCACCGAAGACACATGCGCAGAGGTGCGTCATGTATGAAAGAAACAGCACCGTTTCTAACGATAACAGGTTTAAATATACAGGAGCAGAAGAAATGGTGGCCAATAAGATAAGCACATGGCGGTTGGGGTCGACAGGCGCAGCAGCTCAAGCAAATTAGTCAACTGAAGCATCAGGGGAGGCGTCCTTCCTACCTAATTCCTATATGCTTTTTAATCCTTTCCCAAATGAATACAGCTAAGATACAAAGAAAACCGATGAGGTTCCTCGCTGGACGACGCATCCGATCATGTGATCAGCGGCCAAGCCGTTTCAACGATCTGGTCAAAACTTTGGACCCTAGGGCTTGGATCATGCGTGATTGATATTTCCAGCACATTTTTCGTAAGGAAAGACCCATGGCATGACTCCTTTGGCACATTATATTTAAGCAAATTTATATCAAATTGGAAGAAAACAAGGGGGTTCTGGCTCTTGCTTCCTCTAGGTGTTTGATGCTTGGAAGGCAATGCTATCTACTGCATCATCGTCATCATCCTCTTCTTCGCCGGTCTCTGAAAAATTTCCACCCACCCTTATTGTTTTTTGTGGCGTTGCGATTGGGAAATCAAACTCGCGTTACCGACGATTGATTCTCGGTAGCTGTCAAATGCTGCTGGTGCTAGCATTTTTCGTGGGTTACTGGGTCATGCATGAGATGAGAATTTGCAAAGTCAGAAGGGGAGATGATCTATCTTTTGCAAGTCAGAGGTCTGGCACATGGACCGGATCAAGGGCGCGGCCTATGGGAGCGGTTCTAGTGTAGTTTGGACACAAAAGGAATAGTATCTGTTGGGATCTTCTTGCAGTCTGTGCATCAGAATACTCGAGGTCAACAATTTGTCAGAAGTTATCGAAATGTCAGATCATGGATCTGTCTTAGCAAAGACTAGAGTTGAGGAGGACTAATAATGGTACAGCGAGAAGTCAATTGTCACAGCTCATACATCCCAATAAGACTTGATTGTCAGATTTAGAACATTGATTAATGGCGATTTTTCCCGGAATAACTACGTTTACTTGACCAAGATCAAGACTTGAACAACAATTGTTGTTGGAATTCATGTGGAAAGGAAACCTTCAAAAGAGTAGAACTTGTAAATGGCATCAATATATATTATATAAAGTGTTGGTACATATTCCTCTTTCTGCATAGAAACTTAAGAGTTTGGGTATTATTTTAAATTTCAAACGGCTAAAAGAGGTGATTATGATGGGCAATGTTGTCAATGTGTAAATCTTCAGACCCATGTGTTTTTGGCATATGCCATACCACAACTGAGTCCTAGCACTAATCGACATGGTTTGTTGTTATCGGTAACGAAACCAGTCAAGGCCAGTCGGTCATCAATCTTACTTGTTCTCTGGTAAAATAACTGCAACAGCTGTATAACATTTCCACTTAACAAAATGCAAACGTCGAGATCAAAATCTGAACAGCTGAGCATCAGTGCATCACATTGTTGATTTCTGGAGTGTAATGACAGCACATTATGATCTCCATTTGGGAAACAGCAAGAAACCAGCATAGTCAAGCTTGGATCAATTTGTTTAGCTAATCACCTAACCTAAACAAGTAACATAACAACACTTGGCTTTTCATCTCTAGACTGAAATGGCTGGTATGGTAAAGACAAACATGTAGATTACCTGCTAATACTAGTTCATTTAAATACAACGGTGTGTCGTGGCACATATCATAGAGTGGTCTGGGCAAGTAATTAACTGAGTTGTTAGCAAATTGGTTAAGATGTGATGCTGATAGTAGCTTACTTGCTAATATTCATTATACAGCATATGAAAGCAGACAATTGTTTGACCTAGCTGTTGATCAATCAAAACGAAGTAAACCTAAACGGGGGACTGCGTGACCCTCACTATTCTTCTGTCAAAGGGTTCAGACAAATAATGCAGCACAATGACTCACAATGAAGATGAAATGTTAACCTCTGTTGACTTTTCTGGATCGGTGCCAGGATTTTCTTGAGGAAAGATCCAGAAGAGCATAATCAACTAGTAAAATTTTGTGAAGATAACATGTAGTGTATGTTAAATGTTAGGTAAAGCATAGAGATGACAGCAGACACATGTTAACATGATGTGTCTGCTCATAATTCTGACTTCTGAATTACTGACCTGAGTTCCTATGCGCTAAATTATATCAAAGTTTGCCGAATTCATCCCGGCATGCCAATTCACATAGATTATTCTGTTATGGCACTGACAACACCCCAATATTTTGGTCTTCTGGCCACGATACGTTGGTGGTTAACTCGATAGGCCTGGTTTAATGCACAAGTAATCATCATTAGCGAGAAAGGCGGAAATGAGCTAAAAGATAAGGCTGTATTAGGTGGTTTCCAGGAAATGGCCCGGTTCAACTTGTCTCTGCAGCACACAAGGATGAGTCCTTTTCACACTTACTTGACACTGACTTCCTAAAGCTTAAGGGGCAGTGACAAAAAGGCATATTCGCAGTGCTCAACTAAAATATTCGAAGTAACTTTCTGTCCCCATGTTGAGCTTCAGGCTGAGCTCAGCCTCCATTCTCAAAAGAGTACTCTCCAAGCAGATACTGCCATTCTATGCACTATTAGCACGAACAAGGAGCAGATACTAAAGCAAAACCATTCTCTGGTGAAATACTGGTAGGAGGCTGAAATTCTCACAATTATTCCTTTTACTTTTACAAGAAAATATATGGAAAAAGTCTTACAGAAAAAAAAACTGATCTGAGACATGCAATATTTCCTGGTAAACGAAGAGGTCGAACAGAGTTCTGCTTTATTCAAGTTAATATGCAAAGCCAAAAAATAGAGATCACTAAACCATGGGAAAGATGGTTTCTTCTCAAGTCTACATGGAAAGCATGAGAAAAATGACAGCTTGTCCACATCTAAGATGATACTTCTTCTTAACAGCCTAGGAAAGTCTCATAGGAAGTAAACCCAAGACATTCTTATGCCAATCAACTTCGAGATTGCACGTTGTACCAGCGCAACTGGTTCAACTGCATAACTAATTAGATTTGTCACATATAAATGATGACAAAGATAAGAAGATTACTAGTTCAAATGTCAACTGCCTACAGTAGGCGCGAGAAAAAGCAAAGACAATTTGGTCACACCAACGATTTTTTCCATGGAGAAGATAGATGATTATAATCATAATAGAGACTCACCTCTGTCCTTAGCAATAGAGCCGCCGGATTTGTAGCGTGTAAACACCTTGCATTGGCAACTTGGACTGTGACATTGCTGACTTCAACGTACTGCAGGTTAAACTTAGTTCTCCCTTATCTCCAGTGACCATGTTTGACATTGTAGCTGAATATAATACAGCAGTAACTGTGCTGGAATTCAGATAGTATTCACGCTGAAGCATGGCTTCAGCCTAGGTTACCTTCATGTATAAGAACAAACAATCGAGCCAGAAATCAGTACTGGAGCACCATTTTTTTATGGAATTGGATACGAAAAACCAGACCATTCTCTGAAGGTTACAGGCCAAAGCCCTCGTGTTAGACTCGGACCAAGTTAAAAGTCTTCTGCCTATTTTCTGTCCAATATGGTAAAATGGCGATCTCCAGGTTACCCCATAATTTGACCATTGTACTATTCAATTTACAAATTTGATGTGATTAACGCCGCATAATTTGACTAATAAACTATTTGATTTACATGTTTGATGTGATTAACAGATAGTTTGCACTGCTGCTTTGAGCTTTCCCATCAGCAATAGTTTGCCAAAACAGGAAAATAATAGTCTTCTCAAACTTCACATCATGCACCACAGTTCTTCAGTTTGATTGACTTCTCTCGAAAAACATTTTCCCATCTGTGAAACTAATAAACATTCAGCTTGATCGCAACACCTGAGGCCATCAAACTTCTCAGGAGATCATTTATGCTCCATGTGCAAGAGAATGGATAAGGAATGAACTGCTCCACATCTAATACATTCCTTGAGAACAGGGATAGACTAAATCCCTGATAAACTGCAGCATGTCTTGTATCTGAACTTGTATGTTGCATAAGTGCAAAATAGGTAATAACTTCTGCTTGTGGGGTATGATTCCTGCGCTATGAGAAAATCTAACAATGATCATATGATTGTCAGCAAAGATTGGGAAATAAGAAGGAAAACAACACATGTGCTACTGGACTTCTGCATATATGTTCAGTACAACTATAACTGCCCTTCAGAGGTATACTGAGGGGACTAGGTCTCGCGTTTTTGAGAAACTCAACCTAATCCACTGTAATTCTATGGTGAAGAACAACATGATTATCCTGTCACCACTAGTTACAGAAAGGTTCATGTTATATATGTAGCTTTTTTGAGAAAAACAATATGTATGTAGCTACAGATGAAGCCTTACAAGCAAACTGCGCAGGCATGGTGCAGGCCCATTTGCAAAGAGACAGATGTGCACCAGCTTAGCATAAGGGCTGAGCTCTCAAAATCTCATCTTGTATGCAATGCTACCTTTTTGTTGATAATTTACGCTAGTCTTCTCCGTTTCGAAAAATAATAAGTTACGCTAGTCTTCATCGTCATATTCTTGAGATCCCCAGAACTTGGAAACTTCCTTGCCAGGTAAAGCTACAGGAACTGAGGATCTCAGAAAGTCTTGGTAGTGTAACAGGCTGCCTCTGGTTGAACTACTCCCTGCAGTGACAATCCTACACCCGTCCAGAGCCATGGCTGACACTGTGCTTCTCCCTCCTGATTTAACAGGCTCATCGCAACTCAATCTGTTCACCAAGTGGCCCGTCCGGGTTTCCCAGACATGGACCTGACCATCCCATGGCGCGCCCATCACTACCTTGTATGGATCCAAGTGAAGCAACGTCACAGGACCATCTGAATGCAGTTCTGCGACTGTGTGCTTGAGTTCTTGAGGCTTACGAATATCCCACAGAAGAGCCCTGTCCAGCAAATAATGATAGATAGGTAAGGTTTGCAACGCAGTCGAAGCTAGAAGCATGAAGAAAGCACTGATTGTACAGATATTGTGAGCTTACTTGTCTTTTATGCCCGTGCATATTAGCCATTCAGAGGGCAGCATCTCACAAGAAAGTATTCTTTGGTTACGAAGTGCAAGAACAGAAGCCTTCTTCATCGTCCTCAAATCAATTGCTGTCACTTCGGATCCAGCAGCAATGTAACAAAGGGATTCGTAGCATTTGATTGCAATCGGTGGACCACTTGAGTTAAGATGAGCACCCCCAACACATGATGATGAGACACTGGAAGGAGGTGCCATTGTGTCCCACACTTTCACCTGTGATGCAGTATAACAACGTGAAAAGCAACATACAAACAATAGAGCTTACCATGAGCATCAAATGGCTCAGTTGTGGACCACACAGAATATGTTAAACAATATTACTCCTATTAATGAAATATTTCAGATAAAGTTTTCTTCGATGTTCTATTACCTTTGTATCTTTGGAACTGCTGACCAGCAGGGAGGATTTATGCCTGAAGAGCAAAGAAGAAGCTCAATGATCGTGCTGATGGATCATGATTTAAGAAACCTTGGAAAGTATAGGAACCTTGCAACTGTACAAAAGCCATCGAAATGCTTTCCAGTTTGATAAATGGTGCGCTTGCACACACAAAAAATAGCCGACTAATAGTAGAATAAGCTCCATTCAGATGGTTTGACAGTACGTACCAAGCAACAGACAAAAGTGACAGTGTTTTTTCATGCCCATGCAAAGTTGATATTAGAGGGTGTTTTTTTGCTCTTGTATTCATAGACCAAAGGCGAATGGTGCAGTCTTCACCACCAGTTGCGAGTATTTTACATTCACCGTCATCAAGCAATTTGTCAGCCAGAGCAGTAACAGGTCCTGAATGGCCCTTGTAACAGCGTGATTGGCCCTACATAAAAAGGTTATAAAATCACGCTTAGCACTAGCTTCTCAAGGAGTTAGGTATATAGCCTTTCAAAACCATACCCCACCGCGATGTGTTATTGTGACTGAAGATGTTAGCTAACCATCACATTATTTACAAAGATAATTTAGATGCATGACTGTAAAATTGCCCAGATTTTCTAATGACACTGCAAGGTTTCAACTTCATGAAATGCCACTGCAGAGTTGCCATATTTATAAGCATGTCCTTGACCGAAGAATTTCACTAGTATTGGATAAAAGTGCCTGTGTCTCCTACCTCCTCACCACCTTCCTGCTGCGGCACCTTCTCTCCAGCTCACCTTGCTGTCTCTGCAAGTTGTGTGGAGCACGACGCCATCTCTCCGCCCCCCTGCTCTTTGGGTCGGGGCTAATCTCAACAAATATGTACTCAGCCACATGACGTGTGTGGCAACGATGAGCCCTATGGCCATGTGTAAAGCACTGACAGAGGTCAGGCCCCGAGTATGGAGGTTGAGGCGGGACAAGAAAGCCCATGTTGCACAAGGGAAGAGGAACATGAAGAGGATGACTGAGAAGAAGAAAGAGGATCCGCAGGGACATAAATGTCCAATTTGAGGTAAATTTGGACGAATGTCGTATTTCTGTTTACATTACAACTCTACAGAGACACATATCGAAGCAGAAACTGCGTGTTGGCATTTCCAACTGGGCACTTCAAAAGGGCATATATCCAAATATTCCTATTTATATACCTCGTGACCAGGAAGAGGCTGATCTTGGGAAGGAAGGACACGCTAGGATGTACGGCACATCAGCATGTTGGAGGCTCATGTGTAATTTCATGTCGAAAATCCCATACATGCAGTCAGCCAGGCTGGACAAGGAATGAAGGCCACTGCATAAGGGTTCCAGTCCCTAGAATATCAGATTGGCACTATGTATATCCTTCCGTATGAGTTTAAGAAGATTAGATCTACTCTATCTCTTGTTAGTTTACAGCAGGCTAGATCCGGCCTTGTCTCTAGCAGCCAGTATTACATAAGCGGCACCCCTCTTAACCAGAATTTTCTTCTCCATCCTCACCCCACTTAACTAGGTCTCCTGGTTACCATGCTTGAGTACCACTTTCTCACCGGCAACTAGTCCATGGAATCTAACATGTAAGCACACGGAGGGGCAGACAAGGCAGAGCAAGGGGTACTGCCGCATACCTTTGTTAGTAGTTAGTGAGGTTGGCATAAAGTTAAACGGCAGGTCAGGGTATACAGTGGCCGCTTCACAATGTCATGAATAGATACCACAAGCACAAAACAAGGAACGAAAGCAATTGCAGAAGAGAAAAGTTAGCACGTAGCCACGTATTATTATTTTCATATTTGAATTGAGACAAAGAGGAACCGATGTCCATCTAACAGCTAAAATTTCTTTTCAAGAGTTTCTATCATTTTAATAACTATATTTTACAGTCATTCAATGACCATAAGTAATACTCCCTCCGTTCACAATTATAAGACGTTTTGGATATCTCAATATGGACTACATATGGACTGAAATGGGTGAACAGGGACACTAAAATGCATCCATATACATCCGAATCAGAAAAATGTTAGAACACCTTATAATTGTGAATGGAGGGAGTAGCAATTAGTTTCTTTTTTATTATTATTCCTGTTTCAAGTACCTCTGCACTCATGTACAAAGTCAGTGATGTCATCATGAATGGTCATGTTGTATCCTCACAAAAAAAGGACGTACTCCCTCTGTAAAGAAATATAAGAGCATTTAGATCACTGCTTTAGTGATCTAACTGCTCTTATGTTTCTTTACAGAGGGAGTACATGTTGTATCAACAGGGTAATGTAACGTAGAAATGAGGTACCTTCCAGCAAAGACGGACTGTTCTATCTGTGCTTGAAGTGACTAATGCCATTTCATTTCTATGTGCATCACTTCGATACAATGGGGTGTCGATTAGTGGGAACAATCTGCAAAATGAACATAATAAGACATTCCTATCTCTGCGACTTTCAGCAGGCACAGTAATTTTTATACTGTGCAAAATAGGGGCATTAGTGGAAAGCCAATCACAGATAGAACTGTGAAACAATAAAAGTTTAAATTGTGAAATGAGGATACTGTATCCCAAACATAAACCAGCTAGTAATCATGAAAATGATTTGCAACAATTCCTCTCTGATAGGAAAGAAGAAAATTAAGTGAAAGAAATGATACTGTAACAAGACAATAATGAAGTAAAAAAATGACATTGTCACCAAGACGTAACACAAACAAATCTACAAAGTCCAAAGATATAACCAAGGTACTGACTGAAGTGAAGTTGCCTATTTGTCTAACAAATGAAAGAAAAAATGAAGAAAAATAATATATAAAAGTCAGATAATGTCATTTGGTTCCAAGTAACATGTCAGTCATAACATCCTACTATACCAAACATAAGATGTTCAGTGAATGGGCATTATATAGTTTCATGCACCAACCATTAGAACCAAAAGTACAAACTGATGGAGAAGGTTGGGCAATCCATATATACTTCAAAATCCCTCTCACATGTGGCATGGGCAGAAAGAAAGCAAAGCAATTTATTTATTTAAATTGCAGAAGTCGAGACTTGAACCCAAGATGAGAATGAAGTAAAAACAAATCTACAAAATCTGAAGATATAACCAATGTACTGAGACTGAATGAAGTTGCCTATTTTTCTAACAAATGGAAGCAAAGATATAAAGCAAGACTAATACAACTAAAGTCAGATGAGGTCATTTTGTTCCAAATAACATGTCAGTCATAACATCCTACTAAATTCAGAAATTTTCTTTATGCGGGGATTCAAGAGTCATGTCCAAGACATAAAGTGGGGATGGATCTTAAATCCTAACATCTGTTACTCCCTCCGTCACAGTTTAGAAGGCACAGTTAAATTTATGTGCATTTCCATAATAGACAAGGTTTAGGGCGCATTGCATTTATTTTTAGTAGCTAATTATTACTCCGATATACTATTTCTATATGCATGCGTAGTGTGAATGATATTTTTTAGCCCATCTCACAACCAATAGATAACCACCTAGGTCCCAGAGAATTTCTAAGCGTGCCTTCTAAACCGTGACGGAGGTAGTAGCACAGAAATGTACTATCTTTGATATTATAGGAATAGAAAAAAAAAAGGATTCAATGTTCACCCCTTGATTCCCCACAGGGTTGAGTACATGAAACTGACCCCCAAAAAAAAAAACCTTGAACATCAGATAAGCTGACTAAAAAGTAACAAGATCTACAAATGTCTAAAGAGCAATGGTTATTTGCTTTATGGTTACCTCATACAAGTGATCCTCGCGCTATGGGTCCTGTAGGTTTCCACTAATTCCATGTCCAGACCAAGCCTCAATCTTTTGACTACTGGCCCCTGCACAGAGGAAATTGCACGGCATATGTTGCTTAGCACAAATAAGCTTTTGATACTGTAACAACCTGCATTACTTAAGCAGAAGAGCAAATCTGCTATATTAAAAACACATAATACTGTTGCATTTCACTCACTTGAGAGAACCAAACACCATTCCTATCAAGCATTAGATGGCTTGGTGTCGGCTCCGTGGGATCTAGATAATAAATAGATGATAAGGGATCATCAAATTTCATTTGATGTACTTCAGTGTGCCTCCGAATGTATAGTTCTCTAATCCCCAAAGCTCCACGAGGCACTTGTTGAAACGGCCATTGCCCCCTAAGCGTTCAAATGGTCATGATGCGATAAATAAGTGGGCAGTCAGATACATGTGTAGTTTCCAAAGTCTGAAAATACTATATAGCATAGACTCAAACATTAGATACAGTTATGTGAGTTCAGAAAAGGATTACACGACATTGATCAACTCGTAGAAACTGTAAAACTTGATGCAAAGCATAAAAGCGAACAAACGACCATCAAGCATTTGTAGTGGCATCAACGTAAAAGAAACATTCGCTGCCTGTCACTTTCAAATTGCATGCACCTTATTAGATAAAGTTCATATTGTGTAGACAGTGACAATTCCTCCACCTACATAATAGCTTTATCCAATTAAACTACCAAAAACTACTTTTCCTTAAAAAAGTTAGTCCAACAGAGTCAGAATATAAGTCATTTTGAATTGTATGAGTCCAATATTTCTAGGTTTGACTCTAGAATGAAAAATAACTAGCACCGACAACATCAAATTGATATCTTCAACATGTAATAGATAGACGTTCATAATGTATGATAGTACCTGAAACCCTAAACTTGAGCTCACTCTTAATGTACAAACCGCTCTCTTTTTTTGTGAAACAACATTTTTAAATTCAACATCAAGTTATCCAAAAAACGCCTTGAAAACTGTGTCAATGTCCAAAAAACACTATTGTTACGATGCATAGGGAGTATACCATAAACACCAACACTGTTGCTCCATATTTCAAATATTCTACTTTGCTGGAGAGATACAAATCAGACGATTGATAAGTCTGCAGCTTGCAATCCTAACAACCAAGATAACTAATAAAGTGCCACCAAACTGTGGACCCACGGACCCTCTGACAGTCTTATGATCAAGTTTACCTATCCAATGTCAACCAATCATATACAACAATGAAGATGACACTTGAAAGTCAATCTGAAAAATGACAGGATCTCCTCCCTTTCAGTCCATCCCAATAATTGATGTACCGTTCAATCGAGGCTTCCTCAGCCTAGCTGACACCCAAACCAGATGTTCTCACAAGCTTAACTCTATTTGCTCAAACAAGAAAATCATAGTAGAGGGTTCATAATTTTCCAGTCACAACCGTCGTCGCGGCACCAAATATGGCTGCAAATCAATTTTCCCCAATTTGTTAGCCACACAAAAGCTTCGTATCCCAATCATAACAGGAAACCGATCATTTGTAAACTCCGGGCACAAAGGTCCCAATCAACAGCACACGTCTACACCGTGCAATCACCAAAAGGGGGCAAACCTATTGGGCCTGTACAAATTGCCCTATACAGCTGAGTGTACTGACGCCTAAATCGGAATTCCCGAATCGGACGAGAGCGAGAGGAAAGAGGAAAGTGGGTGAAGGAAGAGACCTGTAAAGGTGGTACCATACGGCATCGCAGTAGGCGGCGGCGCGCAACGGGCGGCAGGCCATAGCAAGGCTGGCGACGTCGCGGGCGCCGAGGTGGCGCGCGCAGTGGGCCAGCGCGTCGCCGTCGAGGTCGACGAGCGTCCGCCCCGGTAACGGCATCGACATCGCCGGCGAGCTGAACCCTAGAACGTATCACGGTGGCCACCGTCTCAGGCGCGCGGGGAAGGGGGGAGAGACGGCGGCGGCGGTTAAGTTTGCTCTTTACCTCTCGGTCTGTCCCCAACTGTCTATGCTCCCATCCGTGTTCCGCACCGTTCCTTTGACATCGGACGGTCCAGTATTTTTTTCTCCCCCACTGTGAAAATAAATCTAGAGACAATCTCTATTGCATGTATACCGTGTATAACGCGGCTGGACCCGGCGCCTATGACCGTCTCTAGCATACCCCTAAATCACCCCAACCGCAAAATAACCGTCAGTTTATACTTTTAGACGAAAAATGACCCAAACAGAAACCTTAAACGTGTCTGACACTTAAAAAAAAATTAGGGGCGCGGTAAATCCCCCCTCCCCCACCCACGAAAACCCAAGTTTCCCCTGCCCCGTTGGTGCCCTGTATCCTGCAAAAGCGGTTGGCATGAGGGACATTTCAGCACGCGCGTTCCCCACATCCCCTCTAGTAGCCGCCTGATACGTCTTCATCGTATCTTCTTTTTCAAACACTTTTGTCCTTGTTTTTGGACTCTAACTTGCATGATTTGAATGGAACTAACCCGGACTGACGTTGTTTTCAGCAGAATTGCCATGGTGTTATTTTTGTGCAGAAATAAAAGTTCTTGTAATGACCTGAAAATCAACGGAGATTATTTTTTAAATATATAAAAAATATTGGCGAAAGAATCAAGGCCAGGGGGCCCACACCCTGTCCACAAGGGTGGAGGCGCGCCTACCCCCTGGGCGTGCCCCCTGCCTCGTGGGCCCCCTAGTGCTCCTCCGTCCTCAACTCCAACTCTATATATTCGTGTTCGGAGAGAAAAAAAATAAGAGAGAAGGATTCATCGCGTTTTACGATACGAAGCCGCCGCCAAGCCCTAATCTCTCTCGAGAGGGCTGGTCTGGAGTCCGTTCGGGGCTCCGGAAAGGGGAATCCGTCGCCATCGTCATCATCACCTTCCTCCATCACCAATTTCATGATGCTCACCGCCGTGCGTGAGTAATTTCATCGTAGGCTTGTTGGACGGTGATGGGTTGGATGAGATTTATCATGTAATCGAGTTAGTTTTGTTAGGGTTTGATCCCTAGTATCCACAATGTTCTGAGATTGATATTGATATGACTTTGCTATGCTTAATGCTTGCCACTATGGCCCGAGTGCCATGATTTCAGATCTGAACCTATTATGTTTTCATAAATATATGTGAGTTCTTGATTCTATTTTGCAAGTCTATAGTCATCTATTATGTGTTATGATCCGTTACCCCCGAGTGACAATAATCGGGATACTTACCGGTGATGACTGTATATAGGATCGAAAGTATGTCTAGAGGGGGATGATTAGACTACTTGACCAAATAAAAATCTAGCATTTTCCCAATTTTAAGTCTTGGCAGATTTTAGCAACTTAGCACAAACAATAATCAACCTGCACATGCAATTCTAAGAGTATAGCAGCGGAATGTAAAACAATTGCATATGAAGGTAAAGGGAGGAGTTTGGAGGGAGCAAACACAATGTAGACACGGAGATTTTTGGCGTGGTTCCGATAGGTGGTGCTATCATACATCCACGTTGATGGAGACTTCAACCCACGGAGGGTAACGGTTGCGCGAGTCCACGGAGGGCTCCACCCACGAAGGGTCCACGAAGAAGCAACCTTGTCTATCCCATCATGGTCATCGCCCATGAAGGACTTGCCTGACTAGCGGTAGATCTTCACGAAGTAGGCGATCTCCTTGCCCTTACAAGCTCCTTATCTTGTCGGAGGCTCCCAAGTGACACCTAGCCAGTCTAGGAGATACCACTTTCCAAGAAGTAACAAATGGTGTGTTGATGATGAACTCCTTGCTCTTGTGCTTCAAATGATAGTCTCCCCAACACTCAACTCTCTCTCACAGGATTTGGATTTGGTGGAAAGAAGATTTGAGTGGAAAGCAACTTGGGGAAGGCTAGAGATCAAGATTTATGTGGTTGGATTGGAATATCTTGACCTCAACACAAGTGTAAGTGGTTCTCTCTCAGAAAATGTATGTTGGAAGTGTAGGCATATTCGGATGGCTCTCTCCACGAATGAAGAGTGGGTGAAGGGGTATATATAGCCTCCACACAAAATCTAACCGTTACACATAAATCACCAAACTCGGTGGGACCGAATCATATAACTCGGTCAGACCGATTTAGTTCAAAATGTGAACGTTAGGATTTTCGGTGGGACTGATTCCATTAGGGTTAGGGCATAATGTAATCTCGGTGAGACCGATTACACAAACTCGTTGAGACCGATTACACAAACTCGGTGAGACCGATTACACAAACTCGGTGGGACCGATTTTGGTAATAGGCAAACAGAGAGTTGGTCAGGCAAACTCGGTGGGACCGACTCGCTCATCTCGGTTAGACCAAAACGTTATGAAGGGGAAACAGAGAGTTTGCATTGCAATCTTGGTGGGACCGATCGCTCATCTCGATTGGAATGAAACGTTACGAAGGGAAACAAAGAGTTTGCAATCCCATCTCGATGAGATCGAAGTGACTAGGGTTTCTGGCAGTAGCTATGTCAAGTGAACTCGGTGGCGCCGGATAGAAGATTTTGGTGGGGCCGAGTTTGACTTTTGGTTTGGGACATATGTGGATATGAGAAAGTAGTTGAGAGTTTTTGGAGCATATCACTAAGCATTTTGAGCAAGCAACTCATTAAGCAACACCTCACCCCTATTAATAGTATTGGCCTTTCCTATGGACTCAATGTGATATTGGATCACTAAAAGTAAAATGTAGAGTCTTGTGCTTTGAGCTTGAGCCAATCTTTTGTCCTTAGCATTTTGAGGTGTCCACTTTCTAATTCATGCCATGTCAATCATTGAGATTTCCCTGAAATATTTATCTTCAAGTAGCATTAGCTCAATGAGCTATATGTTGTTAGGAATTACCAAAACCACCCAGGGATAGTTGCACTTTCACCGTAGTTTGAGGAGTTCATGTATTCACTATGTGTTAATGCTTTGGTCAGGTACTCTATTAAAAGGAGGCCTTAATATCCCTTAGTTTTCAATAGGATCCCGCTGCCATGGGAGGGTAGGACAAAAGATGTCATGCAAGTTCTTTTCCATAAGCATGTATGACTATATTCAGAATACATGCCTACGTTACATTGATGAACTGAAGCTAGTTTTGTGTCACCCTATGTTATAACTATTGCATGAGGAATCGCATCCGACATAATTATCCATCACTGATCCAATGCCTACGAGCTTTTCACATATTGTTCTTCGCTTATTTACTTTTCTGTTGCTATTGTTACAATCACTATAAAACCAAAACTATTACTTTTGCTACCGTCACTGCTACTATCATATTACTTTGCTACTAAATACTTTGCTGCAGATATTAAGTTTCCAGGTGTGGTTGAATTGACAACTCAGCTGCTAATACTTGAGAATATTCTTTGGCTCCCCTTGTGTCGAATAAATAAATTTGGGTTGAATACTCTACCCTCGAAAACTGTTGCGATCCCCTATACTTACGTGTTATCAAGAGTATTTTCGGGCGCTGTTGCCGGGGAGCATAGCTCTATTCTTTGAGTCACCTGGGATTTATATCTGCTGATCACTATGAAGAACTTGAAAGATAAAATAACCAAGATTTTTCCCTCAACTACGAGGGGAGGTAAGGAACTTCCATCTAGCTCTGCACTTGATTCACCTTCTGTTTTGAGTAAACTTGCGACACCTACTCCTGCTATTCATTCTGATATGTCGCATGTTATTGATGATACCACTTCTGCTTTGCATGATACTTATGATGAAACTACTTCTATGCTTGATAATACTGTGCCACTAGGTGAATTTCTTGATGAACAACTTGCTAGGGTTAGAGAGAATGAAATTATTGAAACTGATGATATTGATGAAAGTGATGATGAAGATTCTCCCCCTAGATATGAATTGCTTGTTGTTCCTGAGGGTTATGTAATGGATGAAGAAACTGCTAGGGACTTCTTAGCTTGCAATGTTAGATCTAATCTTAAGAAATTATTAGCTAAGCTTAAAGAAACATATTTGAATGCTAGAATGAAATATGACCCTACTTTTGCTACTTCACCTATCTTTATTAACGATAAGGATTATGATTTCTCTGTCGACCCTGAGTTAATTACTTTGGTTGAATCTGATCCTTTTTATGGCTATGAATCTGATACTATTGTGGCACATCTTACTAAATTAAGTGATATAGCAATGATACGTCTCCAACATATCTATAATTTTTGATTGCTCCATGCTATATTATCTACTGTTTTGGACATTATTGGGCTTTATTATACACTTTTGTATTATTTTTGGGACTAACCTATTAACCAGAGGCCCAGCCCAGAATTGTTGTTTTTTTTGCCTATTTTAGGGTTTCGAAGAAAAGGAATATCAAACGGAGTCCAAACGGAATGAAACCTTCGGGAACGTGATTTTCTCACCGAACATGATCAAGGAGAATTGGACCCTATGTCAAGCAACCAACAGGGAGGCCACGAGGTAGGGGGGCACGCCTACCCCCCAGGCGCGCCCTCCACCCTCGTGGGCCCCCTATTGCTCCACCGACGTACTTCTTCCTCCTATATATACCTACATACCCTCAAACGATCAGATACGGAGCCAAAACCCTAATTTCACCGCCGTAACTTTCTGTATCCACGAGATACCATCTTGGGGCTTGTTTTGGAGCTCCGCCGGAGGGGGCATCAATCATAGAGGGCTTCTACATCAACACCATAGCCTCTTCGATGAAGTGTGAGTAGCTTACCTCAGATCTTCGGGTCCATAATTATTAGCTAGATGGCTTCTTATCTCTTTTTGGATCTCAATACAAATTTCTCCCCCTCTCTTGTGGAGATCTATTCGATGTAATCTTCTTTTACGGTGTGTTTGTTGAGACCGATGAATTGTGGGTTTATGATC